CAGCCCAGCTCCTCACCTCCTTCCCTGCTGTCCTGCCTCTGCTTTCCTGACCCGCCAGGCTGTGCTTGTAAAACCTTTCTGTGTCACGCAGGGCTAGAGGGTGTAAGAACAAGGGAAATTGAACAAGAATGGATGTGCTGAGCTATTCCTGGTCTTTGCCTCCTGCTCCTGTGCTTGGGTCCACATCCCTCACCCATCATAGAATCATTTAGGTTGGAAAACACCTTTTACATCATCAAGTCCAACTGGTTGTTGCAGCTGATGAAGGACTGATGACCCCTCTGGCACTATGGGGATTAGAACACTCCAGATGAGATCATCTGGTCCAGACAGAAGCACTTGGGTAAGGGCTGAGGGCCTGCACAACACAGGTGCTCTGACAGGGTGACCCAGATCCTGCTGGAGATGCGGAAGCAGTTCAAGTGTTATTGTTAATATGAGACATAAACAACCTCCTCCATAAAATGCTGCTTCCCAACTAATGAGCCCACAGTTCCTTCCTGGCTCCAGCTCTGGAAATGTCTGGAGGTGACCAGGGAAGGCACAAGGTCTTTTTTCTAATCTGAAACCAAAGCTTCTAGCTCCTCTCAGATGACTAAATAGAAAGAACAACAAAAGACGAGCTAGAGGTAACTGCCCCAACCCCTTGTGCAGGTGCTGCCACACTGCAGTCAGGAGGCGTCCCAAAGTGTGAGCATCATCCTGGTGCTGATTGCTGGGATGCTGCTGCCAGTCACCATCTCCCTGTCACCCATCTCCCTGTCACCCAGCAGAGGTGGCTGTTTAAAATCTGTATAAATGTACATTCCTGCCTCAAAACCCAGCCCTGGGCACCAGTTAACCCAGCTGGAGAAGGCAACCAGGCTGCAAGAATACAATTCCCTGTAACCTCCCACAGCTCAGTGGAGAAACCAACTGTTTTTCAAACAGGCCAAGCAAAACCGAGCGGCCAAAGGTCGGGGAGACTTGGACACCCCCATTGCTCCAGCTCACAATGAGGGGAATCCCCCCTTTACTGTGTGCCAAATGAAGCATGTGAGCTCTGCAGCGCTGGTCTTCAATGGCTCTTTCTGAAGTAATGAACCAAAAGTATCTTAGAATGACAAAGTGAATGGTCCTGGTCACCACGCATCCTGTACCACTAATGAAGAGCATGATTTAGGGCTTCCCTTGTCTGGGCTCTCTGGGAGGTGCGGAGGGGAAGGCTCTGCTGGGGTCTCCGGTCAAACACACACGTGTTTTCAGCATGACCACATCACCACATGCTCTGTGCTGCAGAGACCTGGCCTGCTGTGCACACGCAGGTACTGCAGGAGATGCTCACCAGGACGGTTACCACTGCAATGAACTGTTTTGCAAAGCCATTGTAGGCAAGGACACAACACAGAGGCTGAAGCCTTTTGGTCCGGCAGCATTTACCCCATCCACCCAGCTCAGGTTTTAATCACACAACCCCCAGTTGCAAACCACAGCTTTCAATGATGCTCAGATGCAAACTGATTGCCCCTTTCTGCTGCAGCGAAGAGAGTAATCACCCCCCTGCTGCTGCCAGGGCCTGAACCGGCTGCACTTAACTGTGCTTTCAGGGAAAAATCCCCCAAGGAGAAGAGAAAGGCTGAAACCCTGCTATTCCCTTCAGTAACTGTTTAATTTAACACACCCGTGAGCTACAGCCATTAACCCCCCCACAGTTAGTGGCTGTCCCTTAGCACGAGCTGGGAGTGTGATGGAAGCATGGGACGGACGGAGCTGGTGCGAAGGAAAACGACTGAACACGGGCTCTTGAAGTGTACAAATTTACACCACGTTGGAAAGAAATAAAACACAAATGGTGAAGTAATGGCTTGTGTTTTGCATACAAATTACACACAGAATTTCCCATTCTGGGACTGAATGTTGTTCCTGGCAGCACCAGCAAAGAAACGCCCCCTGAGCTGCGGGCCCGATGCTGGGCTCCGGCTTTCAATACAACCAGGATTCCCCTCATGGACTCCCAGTTTTGGCCATTCTCATAACCTGAAGAGTAATAAGGAAAGGAATTCCTACCTACATGCTCCTGACCCTCCACTGGGGACCAACCCAAGAGCAAATCCTCCCTAAGACAGGGAGGGCTTAACACACAGCACTCCCGGTAAGAGCTGTGCTGGACGAATGCTGTTCCACATACAATATTGGATAATCTAGTTAAAAGAATCAGCTAATCTTAACAGAGATGAATCTATATAAGCAGGAAAAAGGGGTTTAGCTTGTAAGAACACAGAAAAACACCTTGAACAACCATTAAACTGCTACACTTTAACTGCATACAGAAATCCAGGCATGTGGGTGCTCTGCTGCTCACCAGTGGGGCAGAGCAGTGTTCCCCTCCTTCACAAACACACCCACTGTGGGACTCCAAACCCAGTTGTCATCTCAC